CAGGTTAGGGAGGCAGGAGGCGTCTCGAGAGGGCATCCTCCGGGGCTTCAGGTCCAGTCTTCCTCGAGCTCGTCGATGTGCCTCGATGCAGTCTCTCGCCAACTGTGGCTTCGTCTGGCGGTCTAGACTCGGCCGTGCGTGGATGTGTACATGTCCATGTCCATGTCCTCTGGATCTCCACTGACCTGAATGGGACCGGGGCAAGCACCAAATAGGAACCCCCATCTGTCACTGGGCCGTCATCTCAGTCCACATCAAAAGAAGAAACGGAGTGAGTGACCTCAAGCCGTGAAGCCAACGTGGTCAAGCAGAATGTGGGCCGTTGTGGGTGAGCATGGAAGTCGGAACAGCCTAAACGCCTAACAATCATTCGGGGCGGTAGCAGACGCAGCACGACAGGGCAGCTAGGGTAGCCAGGCAAGCCACAATTGGCCAGACCGAACAAGACATCCCTCGTCAGTGTGATGCTGGGGGCGGGGGGCGAGAGGACGCCTCATCAGAAACGGGGATCGACATTGGGTCGAGTGGCTGGGCAGCTCGTTTTCGCTCTTCACCTGTCAAACCTGGGATAAGCTTCGAACCGTCAAAGTTGGTGAGACAACGGGAGGAAAGGGCCTCGTGTGTTGTCGACTTGACTAGCAAGCATCAAGCCCCTAGAAATGTCGACGGACTAGTGGTGAAGCAGGGCAGACGTGAGACTTTTTTCGTCAGTCTCACCAGCCACGATCGCGATCTCTAAATCGGAACTCGGCCAAGCCTCGACGGAGGTCCAGAACGTTCAAGTCAACTACGCTTCATCTCCACCGCCAACGCGACGCTGGGGGTGCAGCCAAGGCTGAGCGAAGCAACATGCTGAAACGGGCCAAGGAGCGGGTACCGAAGGGACCGTCGATACGCTAAAGGCTGCTGGGCCGCCGTTACATCGACCTGGGGTAATTAGTGAATCCCCCTGTGCCAGGTTTTTCCTCGTGGCATACGGAAGCTGCTTTTTCTGCCCATGAGGGGGGACACTAGGGATCAGAAGAGGCGTCGACCAACCCGCACGGGGAACTCCAGAATACAGCATTGTTGAATTTTCCCCGATGAACGAACGATCAGATTGTGCTCATACCCGCTGACCCTCGTCAAATGAACGGGTCGGAATGACACCCGCGAGCAACATCCTTGTACACTAGCCCCACGAGCACCACACGCCACGACATCATCTCGATCGACTGCAGTTCTCTTTTGAAGCAACCGTTTTTTACGGTTATTTGTATTTTCCAGAGCATCGTTCATTGAGAGCCCGCCTGAATTGGTGGTGTATCGTATCGCACATTACTGTACGTATTTCCCGCTTCCGTTTGATCAAAGCAAAAAAAGTGTTTGATCATGTTAAAGACACAAATGAAAGTTAAATCCCCAAGTAAGCCAAAACAAATACAACCCCGCCGTTTCGATGCATAAAACCAGTTTCTCATGCTTATTGCAGCGAAGCATGCTGATCCAAACGCCTCTCTTAGTTCCTGAAAAAGAAGGAAAAAGCCGAATTAGCCCATCTGAACCGTTTTTGATGTGGATGCTTGAACAGCTAGCCCGTCCTTTTGCGAAGAAACCTGGTAAGAACATGGCCGGTAACTGGGAGATGGGGTACGTATGACGAAGGTGGTGGGTGGCAGATCAAAAGCAAGGGGAACAGGTAGGGGTCTAAGGTAAGAAACGCCTGGGGGGGAAGAGGTCCGTGGGGAAAACTTACAGGAGAGCAAGCTCCAGATCACGTGAATCGCGCTTCAGCGTAATCTCATATCGAGTCAGATCAGACGCAAC